ACTGAGCGTCTGTCCCCGGGTGGTCAGTGTGTGTCATAGCAACTGGTCATTCTACTGTGGGGTCAAAATAATGCGCTTACAGTTGGTGAGTGCAGCAGGTGGCAGGAGCCTCTCCCGCCTCCATGACAGTGCTAAAGATGTCTGACTGCTGATCTAAGCTGTCAGTTGGATATCCCCCAAGGGCTCCTGGACTGCAAGAGGGTGCAGGCTGGTCTGAGGGACCTGCCCCGCCCCACTGTTCTGTCAAGAATTTTGTGCATCAGGCCTCTAGTAATTAATAAGTAGCAATACAATAATAAATTGTTTCATGTACTCACAACTGTAAAGCTACTTCACAGTATAAAAATCAATAAAAATAAAAAAGAAATAAAAAAAAAACAAAAAAAAAACAAAGACTTGGTATGAAAGAATGTAAAATACTTCATCAATAATTTTTATATTGATTGCATTTTGAAATGACAATATTTTGCATATATGAGGTTAAATAGAACATAGTACTAAAACTCATTTCACTTATTTCTTTTTATGATTATTTTTAATGTGGCTTGCACTATGTTTCATTGGACAGTGCTGTTCTAGAAGCAGGCCTCCATACACTCACTTATCCACTTAGTCATTCAACCAGTATTTATTGAGGATCTTCTGTGTGATGAGCACTGGGCCAGGGAACAGCAATGCAGCAGTGGGCACAGTTCCTGCACTTGGGCAGCAAGTGGCACCAACTGTGTAAAAAAAGATACCAACAGGTTTCTAAAAGCAGGGACATTTAGTCAGGAATATCCTAGGTTATTAGGATTATTAGGGCTCGTAGCATTAAAAGCCAGCCCCCTATAACTTAGCACCTAACCCTGCTGTTTGAGAGCAAAATAGAATAGGTGCTGATAATGATGGCCATCCCGAGTCCCCCAGGAAATGTTATATTCCATGGGCCTGTTGTAGACTGCTGTGTGTTACGGCTATGCGCATACAGAGCCTCTTCCTCACTAAACGGAGACACTTTGGAGGGTAGTGATAATGGTGTTTAACCTTCATCTCACTCAGGAGCTCCCACACAGAAGATACTAAACAACATATGGAATGATATGAAATATATATCATGTATATTCATTTAAGAAAGCAATTAAGTATATAATATAGTTTAAAAAGAGTTCTGCCCTGAATGCTTAAAAAACAAAGTTTGTCACTTAAACTTAAGCTTTAGTAATTAAAAACAAAAAAATAGTCCCTCTCCGGATATAAATTCATGATGATATAAACAAGAAGTTCTGGCATATCCAAATTAAATTCTGTCTCAGGAGCACCAAGAATAAATATTGCAGAAGCGGTCCGACCCTGGACGGCACTGATTGGCCGAGGCCACAGTCACCCATATTTCTTCTTCTCTGAAGTGCTGTACAAAGCATTACGAGTTGTCAGTACAAAAAGCACAAATTGCAATGGGAAACTTTTTGTTTACAACTCTTAGTACATTTTTAGTACCAGTCAAGGTAATCAGTCATATTAAAAATATATAATTTAATTCTCAAATAATAATTTTGTTCATCTTTCTCCTAAAGTACATTGTCACAAGAAGTCAAAGAAGACTGTATGTGATATGCATATGCTAGCGTACAGCACAGTGTGCCGATATGAAAGCAGAGATATTACCCTTTTATAAAGATAAACTTGGTCCCACTAGGGAGGAGAGAAAGAGTGGGCAAGGTGGAGCATAAGAAAAAATGCAAAGCACCAGGAAAATGGTTTCAATTTAAGGGAATGCCGCTCAGAGGACCATGTATCTCCTAAATCAGTGCGAGTGTGTTCCTCTAGATACACAGGTTAAATTAATTTACCAGTAACAATAAAGCAAAAACAACTGTATAACAATAGTTCACCGCTACCAAAAGGGTAACGAGGTCACAAATAATCTGTCCCCAAGTTTCCAACCATCATGGTTCTTAGATCCTTAAGGCCCTCCCAGGATTTGTTGAACACAGTTTGCACCCCTGCACGCTCACCCTCCTTTCCCATAAAGAGGGGGTGAATGAGGTTCACTCTGAACAGGCTGGTGGGCAACTTTCCCATTTTCCCTTGGGAAATTTGATCCTGTAAATCCTAATAAGGGCCAGAGGAAGTCACCTTCCGGTAGACAGTAACTGACCACTCAGCAGGAGACGTGTTTATGTCTTGTTTTGTTCAGCACTGTGGAAAACGATTCTTTAATAAATACACAGGAATTCTGACTAAACACCCTCAGCTACCCTCATCCCCCCTCCTAAATGGACAAAATACCCCACGGGGTCACTTGGATCTCAAATCTTCTAGAGTGCTGCCTGGCCAGGGAGCATGAGTCTGTCCTGCGTGGCCAATGTCCAGTGGTTTCAGTACCGGTGAGTCCTTCTCTGGGGTCGCAGAGCCTCAGTCTCCGCAGGTGTAGACAGCTTTTCTTAGCTGCCTTGTGACAACTGGGTTTCACATTTCCTGAAACTAGATCTGTGGAAGGAGTCTCTGAAATTGAGGAGACAGAAAAAGAAAACAGAGGTAAGAATGATCAATTCGCTTTTGAAAGAGAGGGAAGGGGGAATCACCCACTAGTAAAGGACGTCATCACGGGGTACTCAGTAACCAATAAGAGAAGGTGTGAGATCCCTTCACACTGTGCCAGGAAATACACGGCGGGCGGTAAGTCAGTCTGGGAAGACGGCTGGCCAACAGCCAGCAGGAGGGGTCCCGGTGAGGTTAGGAGAAGGGACGGGGGGATCAGGATGGAAGCAGAACAGACTGAGCTCAGGCAGCTCCCCTGACTCTAGCCCACTCCCAGCCCTCCCTCTGAGCCCATGTGCAGTGGAGCCTGCCCAGCTGCTGGGCCCCAAACCCTTATTCTTTACCCCAGGAAGACGCCTTCTCTGCCAGCTCTTACCTCTTTTGACTTTCAACTCTGAATATCGGCTTGTAGAGATCTGGAATTTTCCGCTCGATCATGGGCCTGAGGTTTTCTTTCAGCTTATTGTAGTTCTTTTTGAGTTCCTGATGATATTCCCTCTGGTCAGCTGTGATGAGACGCTTGTTTTTCTCCACGGCCTCACCACATCTGAGATACACATATCAGGGTGGGGAGAAAATGAGGTTTCATTTCATAGGTGTTTGAAGCATTTAGAAATAAGGGATGACGATATGATTAACTTTTTTGTTGTTGTCGCTGTTAATTCTCACCTGAGGGTATTTTCCCCCTGATCTTTAGAGAGAGTGGAAGGGAGAGAGACAGAGAGAGAAACATCGATGTGAGAGAGACACATCAATTGGTTGCCTCCCATACACGTCCTGACCAGGGCCAGGGATCCAGCCTGCAATCAAGGTATGTGCCCTTGACTGGAATCAAACCCAGGACTCTTCAGTCCGCAGGTCGATGCTCTATCCACTGAGCCAAACCTGCTAGGGCTCGATTAACATTTCTTGAGTAACCCTCGGGGTGTTTGCAAACTTGACAGCCTGTCAGGATCATCTGGGTAGCTTTTAAAAATGCAGATTTCTGGCCCCACCTCAGACTTGATGAATCAGAATCTCTCAGGGGCAGCACCCAGGAATCTGTATTTGTGAAAAGTTGCCTAGGCGATCCTGATGCTCGGATTCACTATGTGCTAGGTGCTATTCAAGGAACTTCACATCCATTACCTGGTTAATTTTTTCAGCAAACGTGGGAAGTCTATGTTTATCTCTATGTTGTCCCTGAAGCTCATAAATGTTAGGTTCCTGCCGAAGATAACACTGTGAGGAAGTGGTGGATCCAAGATTCAAACTCAGGTCACTGAAGAACGGAACCTCTTATGCTCACAAAAACGTCCCTGTGATCTATGGTGACAGGGCAGACACACAGGTGCCATTCAGGCCCCCCCTGCTACCTACACATGGAAATGCTGAGGAAGCACAGCAAACATTTGTTGAAAGAAGGGGAAACCCCAGGTGCCAGAAAGGAAGAGAAAAAGCAAAATCAAAGTGACAGCAGAATCTGGTGCCGTGGCAGACGCAAGGAGGACCGCCTGTTAGGATGCTAAGATTGCCTACAGGCCCCGGAGGCTGGAGCAAGAGGTGGGTTTCAATGGCCACACAAGGTAAGTGAGGAAGCCTGGCCAGGGCAAAGTGGGATTCTGCATATGCCACCTGCTTATAGTTCAGAGCCCTGAAAAGCTACCCCCTCTGTGAGAAAGGTTCCAGCCGTGGGCAAACTACGGAACCACGGGCCGCATCCGGCCCGTTCGGCTGTTCTATCCGGCCCGCGGAGCCGAAAGAGCGGAGGGTTCTCTTGCTCTCCCCTCCGCTCCTTCACCAGCAGCAGTGTTAACATGTATTGGTTCACACAAACACTCCATCCATGCTTTTGTTCCGGCCCTCCGGTCCAGTTTAAGAAGCCATTGTGGCCCTCGAGTCAAAAAGTTTGCCCACCCCTGGAAAAAGGCTGCAAACTGTCCAGAGAGGTGGAATGGAAGTTTATTATCAGCCTGGGGCCATTAATAGGAAAGAAAGTCACCTAAAGAAACTGAAAATTCTACGCTTGCACCACAAGCAAGCGGGTATGAGTTACTAATTTACATTCCTCTCTTGTGGGTGCTCCCATTAACTATAAAACCAGACCAAGATTATTAAAATCCCTAAGGCTCAGATGGGAATAGATGTAAGGCTGCTTTGGAGGAACAGTTTTTTAATCAGGGCCCATGGGCTACCCAAAAGATGAACTTACCAAAGATGAACTCACAATAAAAAATTACAAACCACCCGAGGAAGCCAACTACCATGAGGGAGAACCAACAGATGCAACAAAGAGGAGAATTACCCCAATAAGAATCAGAGACAATAGAATAATGTAGAAAAACCAAAGTTAATATAGATGTCTAAGAAGAGGTATAAAATCCATGATTTAAAAAGTGGAAGAGTATGAAAAAAGAGACCAGGAAAATTTCAGAAAAGAACCAAATAGAACTTCTAGAAATAAAAATGTAGTCACTAAAATAAAGAGAAAAATCTCAATGGACAGGTTAAACAATAAACTAGACACAACTGGAGAACTCATGAACTATGTGACAGATCTAAGGAAACCATCAAAGAGATAAAAAAAAATTTTAAATATGAAAAAAATGGTTGGAAAATCTGGAGATACCATGAAGATGCCTGACCTACATCTAAAAGAATTAAAAGAATGCAAAATAAGAGGCAATATTCCGAGATAATAGCTGATAATTTTCCAGAATTGAAAAGAGACAGAAATTCTCTAATCAACAAAAACAGACCGATACCTAGCCCCAGGTGAACCTGCAGAGCATTAAAGAAAAAATATTAAAAACTTGTGTTTCTTGCCTGGCCAGTATGGCTCAGTGGATTGAGCATCAATCCCATGCATCAAGAGGTCACCAGTTTGATTCCCAGTGAGGGCACATGCCCGAGTTGCAGGAGGTATGTGCAGGAGGCAGCTGATTGATTTTTCTGTCTCATTGATGTTTCTAGCTCTCTCTCCTTCTTCCTCTCTCTCTAAAAAAATCAATAAAACATAAAAAACCCAAACTGGTGTTTATCAAACTTGTGGACAATCAAGCCTAGTTTCTTCATGGTTTCCCACAGTATGGTATACACCAAGGAAGAAACTCATATTATTTAAACATAATAAATATTGACCTTTATATTTTTCTA